CAAGATACGAGAAGGGGGCTTGATACTATGGCGAGTAGACAGCAGCCGTTGCAGAGCACGGCCATTTGTATCGCGCTAACATGACTTCCCGAAACAACAACGCAACTCCATGAAATGTGGCTAAACTTACTACGGTACTTGGCTGTTCCGCCGGCGCAACATCGCCAGAGCCACGACGGGTTGGCTCCTGCCTAGCGATCTTCATGAAGACGTCACCGGTGGTGTCGTCGGCTTCGGCAGACAACGGCGGTGTCATTTGGGAATAGTCATCGTCGTGTCTGCCTTCGAGTGCGCGCAAGGTGCGGTCGCGTTGGTTTGAGTCGGTGGATTCATCACCAAAGTCGAAAGACCGCATCGTAGAGGTACTGCTGTCGAGTCCCAGACTTCGACGAGAGCCGGATGATCGAAAAGATCGGATGGGGGCGACGCGCACCGAGGTGGTCGGGGTGCTTGCGGCAGTGGCTTTGAAGGAAACAGGCGGTCGCGACGTTCCTGATCTTCGTTTCTCATCTGTCGGACTCGAGTTTTGCAAGGTTTTTGGCAGCAGCAGTTCGCGCTGTCCCTGGGCCCAGTCCTTTGTCGACCTATCGGCCGGGGATCGAGGACTGCTGTCGGCCGTGTCAAAGGAATGCGTGGGATTAGTCTCTACAAGGTGTGACTTGAAGCCAGTCGCATTTGACTCGCGGAACCGAGATGCAGCGGCTCGTCGGGTTTGCAATCCGGTGGAAAGAGCCGGCGTTTTGGATTTTGAGACGTCGCCGTGGGGTGGGAAGGACAGCACGATGACGGGGTAAGAGGCGGACCGCCGGGGTGAGATGATCGTGTTGGCAGGGGTCGGCTGGGAAGCAGTGGACGCTCTGGATCGCGGACCGAGTTTGTGAGGCGACTCGGGCAACTCGCGGATGGGACTCGGATTGCGAGGTGAGAGGAGTTGGGGAAGTTGGCGGGAAGAGCGGCCGTCGTGGGTCGGTCGGAGTGAAGTCGACGGAGTGTCTTGTTGTTGTGAGCAGTTAGTGTCGGATTCGGCGTTGTTATGTTGCGGTTGCTGGTGTTCCTGCAAGTCTGACGTTGTTGGCAGGGCGGTGGGAGAGGCAGTGTCGGTAGCGGTGGTAATGCCAACGCCAAAACCAGAGTCAGCGACGGTGGCAGCAGAGTGGTTTTCGTTGGTGGCGTGTTGGGATTTAGGCGAGACGGGAGAGGGCGGGTTGTGTTGCAACAGTGAGGGGAGCCCTAGGCGTAGGGATGGGTGCTGCTGATGCAAGTCGGCGAATCGAAAGGTGGGAAGTTTGGATGAGTTGTGGCTCAGGCGATGGGTGTGGTAGGGTGAGGAGTGCGGATTTGCCGAAGATGTCGCAGGGACGGAGGTGGTATGGAATGCGACGGCGCTCTGCGAGGAGAATGAGGATGAAGAAGACGCGGACGCGGACGCGGATGCGGATACCGAAGCAGAAGAAGACAATGTGGGATCCAGAGTCGGGGCATGGCCCGCAGCTTCGAAACCACCTCCTTGTGCTGCTGCTGTTGTTGTTGCTGCTGTGGCCATGGCCATTGTCGCGTCGGGGGTCTCCCTGTGCTGGGATTCTCACACTGACTGTTTCTCAGTCAGGAAATCTCGGGGATCCGCTTTCGCGTTCGCTTCCGCTCGCTGCGCCTGAGAGTTGGCCAGGGCTTGTTAGCTCTTTCCCCCCTTCTGTTTTTGTTTTTTTTCTCCCTTTCCCTATCCTTACTCGCTTTCCCCCCCGTCTGTTCCCTGAGCATGCACTGGAGAACAGCACTTTTCGTTATCTGTCTCTGACTGACCCCGGTCCAGCCAAAGCAAACGAACGGCTGCTCTTTTAGGAATCCACCCGACCAAAGTTGTGTCCTCTGTGGCCAGTGGGTGGCGCCGCGCGCTATGTGCGTCTGCAGCTACTAGTCGTCGTTCGTGGATAAATGTGTATCGTTATTTCTTTTCGTTCTCTCAAGGAGACTGCTTTTTTCTTTCAGTTCTTTTTTAGTGATTCCCCGCCGCTCAAGTGTTATGATTTCGGACACGTTGCTCTTCTTGTTGGTGCTCACTGTCCAGATGGGTGACTCGGCAAAGTTTTTCTCGTGTCTCTTTTTTCTCTCGAACTTGTTTCCCTCTCTCGTGATGTTGCGCAATCCGCCGGCGTCGGGATGGGTCGCTGGTCTTGTTGATTAGGAATTAGCGGTTTCTGTGGTATAGGGCGTCTGTTAGGATCGTCCATCAGGCGTATGCACGTCGGCGCTCAGCGTAAGCGTCTTCGCTAGTCGTCGTGGACTTGTGGGAATATGTGCGTGTTAATGACTCGGGAAATGCGAGAGTATTCGTAAGGAAGGGAGCGGAAGCGTATTAGAGGCTGTCGTCGTACTGATCGAATCGAAGGGGAAATCCAAGGAGTGATGACGGACGCTGGCGTTCTTGGTGCAATGGACGAGGCGATTATGATATAGAGGAATGGATAGATTAATGAGAAGGCGAGAGGGCAAGAAAGATAGAGAGCGAGGTTTGAGTTGGCTGCAAGGGCTTGGGTAATTAGAATTAAAGAGGAGGAAAGAGCGTCGTGAACATGTGCAAGTGCGAGTGCGGGCCGGAGGGGGTGCGTGAGCAGGCAAGTGCTGATCTCCTCGTCTGGTGGTGTGTGTAGTATGGCCCTGAAGAGGGAAAGTTAGATCCCGATGTACGGATGGGATGGTCAGTCGGGGATTAAGTGATGGACAGAGAAGGACGGAGAGAAGAGAAGACAGATGACTAAAAAAAGATATGAGAGGGAAAAAAGGAGGGAGAAGTTCGCCAACTCGTCTTTCCTCCTGTTCGCACGAGGTGACTAGTCTTTTTTTTTTTTCTTTCTTTCTTTCTTCCCTTCTTTTCTTTCGACTCTACGGAGTATCCGCACTCTCCTGAGGCTCTTCTTCGATGGAGCTGCAAAGGGTACGAGCACGAATACCTGAGTAGGTACCTCAGGTATCTCGTCGGCCACCGCCCTCCCTGCTCCAGGTCCGCCCTCATATCCATATCCGTCCGTGGGTTGAGTCGCGGTGCTTTCCGCCTCCCAGACTCCAGTGAAGAAGACAAGGTACCTCTTCTCTTGTGCGTACCTTACCTAGGTAGGTACTTCCATTCCATGTCTCCTGTTCCTACCTGATCGTTTCGTTTGGGCGCTGGCATCCATAGGTACATCTATCTCCGCATATATGCCCACCATCACGGAGCATAATCACATCTCGACTTGCATCGTACCGGCCAAACGCGCCTTCTGGTTCCAACGGAATTATACCCTGAAGCCCATAAAACCACAGCAGCCTACCGGCCAATCTCCTCGTGCCTGTCTGCCTGCACATATGCTTATTCTTCCCGCTTGGACTTGGAACGATGGTTCAATCTAGAGCGCAAAGCATGTTCCGTGCCTTCTCTCACCTGACGACCCATGCCAGCAGGAGCAGCACACATATCACCTACATCCACATATGCACCACACAAATACCACAACGCACCACCCGGACGAGGCCAGTAGACGGACGCGTGGAGACACGGGGCGGGGCCGTTGATGTACCCCCGCCACCTCTTCTGCAGACATGAACCTGGTCGTCCAGGGATTCAAGGACCCAATCCCTAGCTCACCGCTCTCGCTGTTGGCTCGTCGATCGCCATCCGCCTGTCATACAGTCATACTGAGTATCTGTCGTCGAGCTCCTTGGACACTACGGATACAGAGTATGGATTTCAGACACGAGGGCTCTCGTCCTTGGCCCGTTTGCTCAGCGCCTAACAACTTACTTCCCTCGTTCTGCAAAAGCTTCCACCCCATCTCCGCCGCCGCTGAGGAAACAAACAATACCAATACCATTTTGGTGGGGAAGCTGCAGGGAGCTCCAGCACTTTAATCTGGACAAACGAGGTGCGAGAATACCTCATGTACGCCATCAGGGGGGGTCTTTGTGTGTCGCTTGCAGCTTGACGATTCGGGGTGGCTGGCTGACAACTAGTGTAGTCAACAACCCATTGGAAATAGGGGGACTGACTTCCTGACTAATTCAGCTCGACCAAACCACCGCTGATGGCCGCCGCCTTAGTGCTGGCGCGACGTCAGTTTCGAGGAAGCCAAGAGGTCACGGGCTTTTACAGTCGTGGGCTGTCTCAAATATGGACTGCCGCTGCTACCGAGCTACCGCCCTTCATCATTCAAATACTACGTAAGTGAGTGCAAGTTAGGACATGCCGGCAGCCTTCTTCTCTCTCGCATCGGCAACCAAACAAAACAGGGGGCTGGGCGAGGCCCCTCTGCCCAAGAGACACGACATGGCGTTGCGTCCACTCGTGTACCTGAGAAATGATATTAAGCCCACTTATGGGCACAGGATACGCCCAGACTCCGCTGCTCGACCATGACAACCGGGGCCTAGGTTGTTGACAGCTGCCTGCCGTAGCTGTCTATTGTGTATTGTGTGTGTCGTCGGTACGCTCAGTACTCCCCATCGAATCTCAATGGCCTCCGAACTAGTCGGGCACCAATGCGACGTACCGGACGAGGCTCGAGCTCTTCTCCTCAGAACCCACATCAAAGATGGCGCAGGCCCGTCATTGTGCAGATTTTGATTGCTTTTTCTAAGCCTCAGCATCCGAGACCTGGCATGGTTACGCAAGAACGGGCTCTACTGAGTACGTCTTCAAGGCGGTCCCTCTTAAGGTTGCACCGAAGGGCTCTACTAAGGAGAATGTAGCCCCCGGGGTGGGTGGTCGCAAGGGGTCTGCAGGGGCTACGCAGTACTCGACTCTTCCACGTGCAGAACGACTGAAACATACGCCATCGCAGCATGCAACCCGATCTCACTGTGGCGCTCTCGCTTCCTGCACTCGGTCCGTTGGGGTGTTATCGGTGTCAGACACCGGCTCCTTTGGTCTGTTGATGTGATGCTGAATCCGACGCGATGTCGACTTTCCTGCTGGACTAAACTACGTCGCAATCGTATGTCTCTTGCGCTCATCATAAGAGAGGAGATGCTAATTACGCAGATCCTCCTTAACCCTAGGGCATGATACAGGGGTTCTGGAGCAAACCTTGGTGAGGTGCAACCCGATCAGCCAGGAACGGCTTGGACAGGAAACGCAACGCCCATGGTCGTAAACACCAAGTTTACTGCTCCAACGGCCAGGGTCCGAGACGCACAAGCCATCCAATGAGATGTGACGAAAATCCTACAGTCGCAGAAACATAATGTCAACAGTAGCGCGCAGAAATGTCGATACGTCACTCTTTCTGTCGAATACAATATGCACCTCGAAAAAAAACTTTGAGACCGGGATGACTTGAGCAGAGGTGCAGAGGTCATGGTCCTAGTCGCAGGTGCATCTGACTTACTCTGTATAGCAGAAAAATTATGCTGCTAGACCGAAGTTTATTTTGCAGCGCAAGCACAGATCGTCTGAACGAAGATGCTGGCCTCACGTACCCATAAGCCCGAAGGTCGTTCCGTGTCTCTCTTTAAGAGCTAAGGAAAACAACCATGGACCTCTTGAAACCCGGCAGATAATCATCAGACGCAATTCAGAGACACAGCAGTCCATGCTGAGACTGAACTTCCCAAGATGGTGCTTTCCCCCCTTTGACATGCTTGAAAAAATGCCACCTCATCTCAGCCTGTCGAAGCGCGCACGGATGGTCCAACTTCCAAAACTAAACACCAAACCAGGAAAACCGTCTCATCTGCAACACCCGGCCCAAGGCTTGTCAGCAACGGGAATAACGGATGAGCCGACCATCATACATAGTACTGTGGAGTTCAGCTCGAGTCTCTCTGACGTCGTCGAAGCATTGTTTCCTCGCCGCAAGCACGAATGTCCGCAGTCGCACGGGCTCAGCATTTGCGACGGTTACTTACCTGCGTGCCAATAGGATGAACTGAGGCCTTCCTCCCCCTCGCGGACTCTTACTCGCAGATGGAAGATCGGACACTTGGCGCCACACTTGGGTCAGCATCCCCGGCCATGCTTTGCAGCCACGGGGCCCGGGCCCTCGACCGGCACGCCATCGCCGGAGCGGAATCTAGAAATACTCCGGGGATGGTTCCTGGGATTATCGGATGTCCGTTGATAACTTGGCAACTATATACCAGGAGCGGGCGCTTTGGCTCGAGGGGGAGCGTACCAGGAAGAATATCAACGGGTGCCCCGGTGCGCGAAACGAACCAGCAAAGCGCGCGGTTCATGGTTTGCGATTGATGCTCGTGTTGCCGAAGTGCCTTCCTGTATAGTCAGCATAACCAGGCTTGCACCCGCCCCAGCTTACCATGGCGATCCTCTACGTGGATCGGCTAATGCGGCTCATGAAGAAAAAAGGTTCGGCTTAGGATCCTGGATCCCGGCATGGCCGTGGGGCCAACCCGGGCATTGTTTTGGTTCCGGGTCGACATTGCTTCATTACTATGTGGGAGAAAATCTGCCGCCTTATGCCAAGTCTACCAGACCTCGCACCGGTGATCAAATGTCCAGACCCGAGCACAAAACCTCGAAAACCATATCTACCTGGGAAGTTCGGCTCACTGGAGGGACGCCCCGGCAACTTTATCAGTATGCACTACTTCGACGAATCTAAAGTGTCTCGATGGTTCCAGAGCTAATTGCTTCATTATTGTTGCCACCAGTCCTTCAGCACTGGTAGACAGTGATCTTTGAACCAGAAGAGCCTTTCTTTCAGGACTGTCTATTGAGGACAATCCTCCTAGTTATGAATGTAGTTCCTAGAGTGGCGCCTCCTTCCATGCCCCTATATTCCTCCTCCCTGAATAATACGCCGGAATCAAAGACCAATAAGCAGTTTGTTAAATTGGTGCGCAACTCGCACGTGAAGATGCCCAAATCTTTCAATGATATATACCGATCGGTGCTACCTGCCATGAATAACATCACGGTCATTACCCCCTTAACAACCTCTTGGCCTTCCTGTTCCTTTCTTCCTGCTCGTGGAGCAGCCATGCCAGAATATCCTCGGACATGCGGTCCTTGGCTGCCTTCTTCGTCAGGACCTTGTTGACGGTACCCAGGTCTTCTGGCACGCGTAAGTCGTTGCCAAAGTCCGCGCGGCCGTTCCAGAAGTCGCCCCCAGGCACCGTCGTGTCTTCGGTGAGCTTGTAATGGGGCACCGGGTATTTGAGGCGGCTGCAGAGCTCGCGGACCCTCTGGGTCGCCGAGAGTCCTGAGGGGTTGGAGGTCACCGGCGGGGGTATGGCAATGGGGACGCCGGCTGAGGGGGTGCTTGCGGAGGATGTTCTCGTGGACGAGGAGGCTGAGGTGGACGCCGATGCTGGTTCTTTGGCGGGAGATGATCTTCTTGCGACGTCGGGCGCGCCGGTAGCGCCATCGTTGCTGTCGGGGGAGGGAAGATGCGAGGGGGGGGAGGCTCTCGCGTGCTGGTTGTCCAGCCTCTTTCTCGCCGCTGCAGTCGAGAAGCCGTCGACCCCGATGATGGGCGAGCTGGGCAGCGACCTCTTGGCAGGGAGGACGGACGCCGACGGGGAAGCGAAAGCGCCGGCGGGCGAGGGGGCCGGTGCAAAGGCCTTGGGCAGCTTCGGTAGATCGCCCGAGGGGAGCATATGGCCGTTGTCGATGAGCCACTTGCAGGCCGCCCTGGCGGCGTACTGCTTCGCGTCCTGCTTCCGCGGGAAGTCCGGGACGATCGCATCGGCGGCGGCGTCCACGCCGTATCCCGGTCGGGGAAAGACGTCGCCGGTGCTGGTGAACGTCGCCGTGCACGCCCAGCGCAGCTCCGGGGCCTTCCCGAGGCGCGGGTGCTCGCGGGGCGCGTCTTTGAATGTGATCTTTTGGCCCCTAACCTGCTGGAAATCTGCAACCGAGCCCCCCCCCCTTCCGTGTCAGTTGAAGGTCCGTTTAGTTACAATAATATGTGGAGAAGGTGTTATCCCGATACGTACGGTTCAGTAGACCAAGCCAATTTTCACCGCCGAGATCCGGGTCCAATCGCGGAGCCGGGCGGAGGAGCACGGCGATGGCCTCAACCTCCGTCTCACTCAGCGGAGCAGGGCGGCCGTTTTCGGCCTCGAACCGTTCTTTTTCTGCAATGTACGACTTGAGGGCTGCCCAGTTTACGCCCTGGGCAGGTGCGCCGGTAAGCGACGAGGCTGACATGGCGGCCGATCAGGCTGCCTCCGTTCGATCGGAGGGGCGACGTGAGAGAAGTGTCAGTTGCTACGTAGCGGGGTGCGCCGGCGTGTGGGGAACATCCATATAAACCCGGGGAGGCCAAGTATGGTAAAAGCAAGGCGAAAGAAGTGCAGGCTGTTCTTGACACGGAGAAGTGCGAATGCTTGTGGGGTTGCTTCGCCTCAAACCGCCTCGTTGGCTGAGGCCCATGCGGGAGGCCGCGGGCTCTGCGTTCGGGTGACGTCTTCGCGTGTTTATCGTTTGGAGATACTGATGGAAGTTGGAGCTAATGATTTGCTGGATGGTAATTGATGGAGTGCCTGACTCCTTTTCAGGCTGGTTGGTGGAGGTTGCTTTAAGTTTGAGAATGGAAAAAGAGTGGCTGTCACTACCCATCTAGGTACCTAAACCCAGCTAGGTAGGCTGATGCTCACATCGGATGACATGCACCCTTGGCATCCTGCGAGGAGAGGTGCCGTCGAGATGCCTGCAGAACGGTTCTCCGGGACAAATCATCATCGACTGTTGTTCCATTGACGGCGATCCCAGAATAACTTTCTTTAGAGGGTATACAAATGGCAACCGAAACGCTCAACACCATGCCCATGCTCCCCCCCCCCCCCCCCCCCTTTCCTCTTGCTCTCTGCAGGCTGTTTCCTTCGCATTTCGCAGTTTCACTCGAAGAAGCCTGTGCCGTCGTCCTCCTCCTCGTCCGCCTTCGTCGGGGCCTTCCGCTCCTGCGCCCTGCGCTCCCTCCTGTTCATCGGCCGCTTGGGGTCCTTCGCCTTCGCATCGCTCCATGTCTTCTTCGACCGCGCCAACCACGGATCCTCCTCCCTCACCCGCGCCGGCCGCTGCTTCCGCTGTGGCAGGGGCTGCCTCTGGTGCGGGGCCGCGTCGGTCGCCGACTTGCGGTCGCGCAGCCTGTACAGCGCCGCCTCGCCCTCCGGCAGTATCTTCTCGACGGTGGCCCACATCTTTGGCCGCTCGGCGTGGAGGGCCCGCAGGGCTTTGGGCTGCTTGAACGGCTTCGCGTCGGCCTCGGGTTTGTCCTCGTCCCCGCCCTCCTGCGCCTGTTCTCCGTCCTCGCCCTTCTTGTCCTTGTTGGGATACAGGCTCTCGTAGCGCTCCATCAGGGGGAAGAAACGGGCGTAGGCGACGTCGACCTCAGCCACGTGGGCCTCGGCCTCGAGGTGCTTCTTCTCTTCGGGGTCTTCGGTCTGCTGGAGCTTCTTGCGGAGCTGCTTGAGGAGTCTCTCTGCCTTTTTCCGTTCTAAATGCATCGTAAGTCAGTCAGCCGAACGCATCCCGGAAACCCACATACGCACGCGACGCGGCGTGATTTTGGGGTGGGGGGTTAAGAGTTCACGTACCGAAGAACCGAACCATGTGGTACTTCTGGATCATGTGGCTCCGCCTCTTTCTGAAGTCGTGCTCCTCGACCTTCTCCTGCAACGCCTCGAGCTCCTGCTCCAGCTCATTGCGTTTCGTGGCGGGCAGCTCCTTGCCGCTTTGTAGTAGTCTCCGGATGGCTCTCGCGCGGGTCTTGTTCCAACTGATTGTGCCCTCCTTTGCCTTGTGCTTCTTCCGGGTGGCCTTAAACCTCTTGTAGCCGTGTTGACCGTTTTCCGAGCCCGGGGAGTTGCTGCGTTGATCATCCGGCTGCACGCCTTCTGAGTCCAAGTCGGAGTGCCCTCGTTTCGTGCCCATTGCTTTTGCGATTGTGGTCTGACCGGGACTGTGTTCTGATTGGGGATGTGGACGTTTATGGGGATGGTTTGGGTGTACGAAAGGGAAGCCGTTGATGGTTTCGCGGGTTCTACATTTCAAAAATTTGGATCGTTATCGGCGGCCTGGAGGGTGCCGACCCCACCCGGATATGCTTATCTTTCCATTTAGGGACTAGCTCTAAGGATGACCCACCTGGGCCAATGACAGGTCCCAATTACAACGCTCACTGAACTGATCGCGAAGCTATTCCGCCCAAGCTTCAGTGATTTGAGGTACCCGACTGACACCTGCGAGCACTCGCGCCGACCTCCCCTTCAAATATCTCTGGACGCCACTAATTTCGGCATTTTGGGGACGAATTCTGTATACAGACTGTCTTGGGCTTGCACCACACTCGGCTGATCTCCTCTCACTTGGTCTCTGCCACCAAGCGCAGCTCATCCACTCAACTCAGGTACCTCGAAGCAGTCGAGCACCATTTCAAACTCGAGCCATTAGCGCCTACTCTCGCTACGATTCGAATCACCGCAACGACCAGTCACGAGACATATCCAGAGT